TAGTCTACAGATGTAGAAATGTTTTAAGTGTGGTTTGAATACTGAAGTTGAATTTCACCACAATTTGTCTCATGCTAGTATGTGCTTGTTCATGTTGAAATATACAAGGATTGTAGTTCTTTTAAAGGTTGTGCAACTTGACATTTGGGAAAATAAGCATTGTGTAAATCTCGCAACTTGCGTTCTGCACTTTGTTTTTCCACTGACAAATCGAATGGTAAAGAATAAGATTCAGTTTTAAAAGGAGTTAAAGTGGCATTTTAGAAACACATCTATAAATGACTAGCACTCCTCCCCAAATTAAGGAAGTTACTTTTTCCCTTTCCTTTTCCATCACAGTGAGAAGCAGTTCAAATGTATCCCATGGGGTCTGCGGGTCATTATGTGCCTCTTTTCCTCGCTGCTGTATTGTTTCTGTCGTCATAATCTCTAATGTAAAATTTCAGCTGTGGCTCAGAAATCATGTAACAGTTCCCTGCAATCTGGATCAAAAGCTCCTTTCATAAGGCAAGAGCTACCCCATACTAATCACATTCTGCCATATCAACCAGACATGTACTATAAATAACACAAGCCGTTTGCTGCCGTCAAACACTATACTTGCACTTCAATTTAACCCACGATACTTACAAATGCACACGAAGGTGCATCAACAATACCTTCTGTGTCTATTTTGAGAGTTGATGTGCTTTGATTTCCTATTGTTGTTTAATTTCTCTAGAAACTCAAACAATGACTAAGGGCTTTAAAAGCTCAAAAAGCATTGCTTCACTTAAATGAAAAGAAAGAAAAACCTTTTTGGAAAAATATAAAATGATGAGAATTGGTCCGAGTGAAAGTTGAAAGTTAGTACGTGAATTATAAATCATAAATGCTTTATTTTCTAATTATGTTTTCAATAGAATATCTAAGTGCAGGTGCACAACCTCCGTTTCAGCTGCCATTGTGTTTGTGTTCCTGTAGGCGTGGCAGGAGTGGAGCTTCCGTGATTGGCCCTAGGTTGTTTTCCATAGACGCGTACTGAGTGAGGCTTGCTGAGTAACAAAGTAGTGAAGATGACTCATTGAGTCTTGAGCATCAGCATCTTTGGTTATGATAATGATTTCAAAATGTCCATCATCAAATCATTTTTCTTAGAAAACTTGTGAGAGTGTTCTTGTTGTTTCTGTGTGAAAAGAATGAAGATTTCATCCCATACTGTGTACTAGCTGAGCTGTGAAGCCTCTGTTTCCCAATCTTAGAGTGTGATGTACTTGTCAGCCTATTTCTCTTTTTATTCCTGTTAAAGCTAGTTACGCATTTCTGTGAGAACCGTATTTCCGTACATACAGTTGGGTGACGTTCAGCTTTCTGGCAGTGTTTTGCAGAATAGCCTTTATGTCACAACAGGAACAGTCTGAATTTCAGAATAAACTCATCAGATGTTTTGCAGTTTCATTTTCAACACTACAGTGTTAATATTGAAATGAAGTTAAGGATTACATTAATGCTCACGATCCTTAAGCAACGATTCAAAGACAGCTTTTGGGCTGACTGGCACATAATGTAGCTGTGCCTCAAAGTTTGAAGTGAGCTGCTCAGTTTGTAAAATGGGTAGAGATGCTAATTTGACAGAGGACAAGAAATGAACAGAGCATGCCATGGAGGTGAGAAAAGTTAGTCACCAAAACAAAGACAGACGGAGCACAAGTTACTACAGTGTGGGTACTATATCTGAGCTTAACTGCTGGTTACCTCAGAGAGTATAAATCCTTTCTGCGGAAAGCATTTGATGGGCAATTACCCCAAATATTTTCAATTGGGACTTATTAGTCACTAAAGCAAACTACTGCTACTACTGGATAAACTAGAAGTTGGCCATTGAATACTTGTTGGCCACAGTGGAAGACCTTGGTGACCTTTTACAGAATTCACACAGATATTTCTGGCATGAAATGGATGGTAAAAACTGAAAATGTGCCATTTTCACAGTTTCATTGTACAGTTCTCTTGCATAGACCTCTTTCTGTACAGCCGTTTCTGTATTTTATTAGTGAGATGCGTTCCACATACGCAGTTAATAAGTGAGTTCAGCTGTGTGTTTTGTGAATGACTTTTTATGTCTGAGAGCTGCTTCTACAATTCACTGTAGTATCTATAGCAACACCACTGACCCGGGAGGCACTTAAGTTGCAGGGAAAGGGTTGTGACAGGGAAGTGGGTTTTTTTTTTTTGGCTCTGAGTGGGAGAACTAAGTGGGATTCTGTGACTGGCTTGCCCTCTAGATTGTTTCATTTACTGTTACACAGAAAGTGTGCCTGCAAAGTCACATGCTGACTATTCACACACACCCACACAGTTTGAAAATCTATGAATAAATATAGCTAGTGTTGGTTTTGTTTTTTTAAGTTTTTTGGGGGTTTTTTTTTTTACTTTTTAACCTTTTCCGTCCCATCAGCCTAAGCACTTACTAGCACGATGGTTCAAGTAAATACTTTGCCGAAATAAGTAGGCTAAGAAAGAAAATGTCAGTCAGTCAAGAGCTTAACATGTCTGGAAATCTCCGTTGCATGTCTTGAATTTTCTTAGTTAAGAAGTCAAAAGCTCCTGATCGACTGAAGTTGGGTGAGTGTGGTCAGTCATCTGTCCCGTAACATGTAGGTCAGTGGATAAACCGATCTGTTGTAGACAGTACGGTTCTCATTAGTGTGCTGCTTTCCAGATTACTCTTTGGGCCAGCCAGCCCTGCAGTGCAGCATATCTTGTCCATTTCTGTTCGTCTTCACATCGAAGCAGCGCACCACCTTGAATAATAGTGTTATTTAAAAAAACTGTTTTTACGTGGCAGTACAGCTCTTCAGCTCTGATGACTAACACTCAGGATCCATTAAAAAAAAAAGGTTTTGTTTAAGATACAAAACAAAGTTTTTCAGGTATGTTGTCATAAATTCAAATACTGTAAATACCGGTATTAAGTAAAAAGTCTCACTGATTGCCTGACCTTTTTGTTTGTTTTTTGCATACCTTACATTAACTCATAATTACTACACCTTCTCTGTTAATTCATGCTGCATTCCCTCCTCCCTCTCTGACCACTCTTAATAGCATGCATCATACATGTGTTTATTTCTTCTTGCTTGGGTTGAATGGAGGCAGGCCCTCTGTCGTCTCCTCTGCTGATGGCCCAGATTACTCTAAGTACTTATACATGAGCTGGCCTCTTCCATAGAGAAGATTGTGTGGGAGGCTGACAGCCTTTTACATGTGCATACTTCACGTGAGTGTGGGTGAGTGCATACATGCAGCCATTATTAATGAGTGGGAAATGGAAGAATAGCTGACTGGTTCTGCATTTGGGACAATTGTGGACTGAATTGTCACAAAAGCTGTGGCAAACAAGTAGATCATACTGCCGTCTCTACTACTTTGCACTCTCTAGAAAAAGAGGTCTGTGTTTTACTTTTTATTGGCCCAATATCACCCCTAAAATAAGTATGCTGTTGCTGTTTGTAGCAAAGTCTAACGGAAATACTTGCTCTCACCCACATAAAGCATGCAACGAAAATTTAAAGTCTACCACACTTCGGCGGCTCTGTCAGCCAGACAAGATACAGAGCGGATGAAGTATTCTGAGATGATTTTCTATGACAATACTCAGATTAAGATTAAGGGGGAGGGAAAGTCGCAGTCTCTGCATGGTCCAAACAAAGCCCCTGTTCACCCAAGTCACATTCAATAGTGTGTACTGCACTTTGATGAAAAATTGTGTAGATTTGATCTATAGAAAACATGCATTTAATTTCCAGCAGTGCTTAACAACACCCCTCCTATCCACCTTTTAATCTGTTCATCCACATTGAGAGCAGAAAAGATTTTCTGTCTTATCGATATCAGTTTATTTTGGTGTAGAGAGCTTTGCATGAAACCAGTCAAGGACAAGGATTTCCAAAATAATGGCTGACTCATGGCTTACTTTTTGAATTTATATCCTCCACTTCATTGAACAGCATCACATTTGGCATATTTATGGAAAGTTAGATGTGAAAATTGGCTTTTCCCAAATGGTAAACAGAAAGAGTCCGTCTTTTCTAGGATATTTACTGAAGACCTAAAATAAAAGTTATTTTTGTTCAGTAAAAATCTGTGTGACTGGCAGTGATTATGTGCAGTGTATGCAAATTTGAGGAAAAAACTGGCAGCCCATTCCCTTGGAAGAAATAATAGTATTGAGTGTGCATGATGCAGCTTGCCAACTGCTTTGAGAGGTCCGTCTGCAAAAGTGCCTGGAGAGCCGTTACACACCAGACAGTGTACTGTGCTTTGGGACAGATTTTGGGCTGCATTATTATTTTTAAGTGTAATTCTCTAGTAACAAGTATTTCCATTTAAATTCCAGTGTTTGTTTGCCTTGTCCATTGTGACAGTTTTACCCTCCTCCTCAGATGTGGAGATGAGATTTACAGACTAGCAAGAGACAGCCTCCTACAGCTTTCCGGGGAGGTTAAATTTATCCGATATCGCAGACTAAAGTAAGACGACCAAAAGTAAACATAGCCGGCAGCCCCGTGGCTATTGAAAGAAACAGAATTGTAAATCAAATGGGTACTACTTCCTCCTACTTCTGTGCTTTATTAGAAACTGTGAGAAACAATAATGACTAATAGTCATATTGGATTTAAATGTGAGAGCAAAGGTTGACAAATGTTGAATTTTCCCTTTTATGATGATCTGAGTGATTTGTGGAAGTCGCACCAGAAGCTAAACATGACCGTTGTTTCACATCCATTTTTCTAATCTATTTAAGTCTTGATTGTTACTCTACGGGCTGATGCTGCTTTTTTGTTGTCATACTTATTCAAATTAAATGTGCGATTTTAATCATTTCCATTTCATTAAAGTTGATCAAATGTCAACATCCTTGTGTTACACAGGAAGTGAAATGTGAAAGTAGCACTAGTCACCAGTCTGCCTCCTTATCGTCCTAGTCTCCTTCTTCATATCTCTCCATTTTCCCTCCATAGTGCCTCAGGATGTCCAAGCGGAGCCTGTTTGTTCGTCTGGTACCATGCCGCTGCTTGCGGGGCGAGGAGGAGATCGTAACATCGCTGGACTACTCCCACTGCAGCCTGGAGACTGTTCCTAAGGAGATCTTTAACTTCGAGAAGACCCTGCAAGAACTCTACCTCGATGCCAACCAGATCGAGGAGCTGCCTAAAGTAAGGCATGCATTGTGATGTATAGAAACCTTCAGTGTTTGTACATCTTTGTTGCTAGGAGTCTTTGAGGGATACAGTTGAGCTTTATTAAAAGTCGGGACATTTGTACATTTCTCATGAGACTGTATAGGTGAACCACATGTTAAACCACATGGTGTTTATAATTTCTTTTTCCCCCCCCTCCTCATTCTACAAGCAACTGTTTAACTGCCAGTTACTCAACCGACTGAGCATGCCAGATAACGACCTGGCAGTGTTGCCAGCAGCGATCGCAAACCTCATCAATCTCAGGGAGCTTGATGTCAGCAAAAACAGTAAGCAGGATGATTCCTTTGTAGAACCTTTTTGCTTTAAAGCCTGAAAACTTTCCTTTGAAATTTCAAACGTCGAAACTGTCTTTTTGTTGTCATGACGGCAAGAAAATATATGAACGCATTAATACCTTGTTTAGATTTGCTTTTTCAAAGATGAGACAAGGCGAAATGCCACAGCATGTTTAATTTGCTGTGTTTACGTCACAACATGACTCAAAAAAACGATCAATAGAGCAAGTGGACAAGCTCAGACCTGCAAGCAGCTAGAAACTCTCTCTCAAGTGAAATGGAAAAAACTGAAAGGGCGATATAAAGCTTCTTTGAGCTGGTTCTCTCACACACACACTGTAACAAAATATCTACAGGGTGAATTGTCAACTGTTTTGTAGAGTCGGAAGCAGCGGCATTTGTCAAAGTTTAACATTTACTGCTTTGATATTAAACATTTGCACTGTTGAACATGACAGGGCTTTGTACTTGAAGCCCTTTAAATGTTGCCTGTTTGATGAAAGCTTTCCACAGACACACTTGGTGCTCTTCTAGGGTGACATTTAGAACAAAAAACAGGTGCAGAACAAAGTGTGTGAGGCTGCACACCGAATCAGTCAGATGACTCTGCTGTTTAAATAATTTCTGCCTTTTTAAAAAAACAACAACAAAATGTATATTCAGTTTTTATATCTAATACATCTGCAATAAATTGACACAGTTTTAGCCTCCGTATCACAATCATTATTTGTAAAGTAGACTTTTGTAAATTGAAAGAAAACCAGTACCATGCAGTAGAAAAATTAAAAAGTATGATATTAAACAAGGACAAATGAACAACAACAAAATAACTCTGACAGTTTTTAAAAAACATAATGGATGGCTTCCAGTTTTAATTCAAAGAATGTAACAAAAATATTGCATTAATTGTCCATTCACTTTCTACATTTATCCATTGAAGCGGGGCTGGAGCCTATCCCAGCTGTTATAGGGTGAGAGGTGGGGAAGGACAGATTGACAACCCTGGACAGGTTGTCAAGCTGTCAGCCAATTAACAGAGACAGATGGCCACCCACACTCATGTGTGTGTGAGCTCCATGGTGGTGTTAGCACTATTGCCTCACAATAAGAAGGTCCTGAGTTCTAAACCAGTCTGTGTGGAGTTTACATGTCCATGTCTCCCTGTCTCCTCTGGGTACCAGCTTCCTCCCACAGTCCAAAGACATGAATGGATTTGGGTTAATTAGTGTTTCAAAACTGACCACAAGGCGTGATTTAGACTTCTGTGGGGAATCCTGCAGTGGCTACAATGTAACCTAGTAAGTGGCAGACGTTGTTGCCAGTATTTATGCTTGTGCTGGACAATTATATTTTTTCCCTCCTTGGACACTTTGTTGCGGTGGGGTTTTGGGGGGCAAACATATTTGTCCTTCTTGTTTTTCCGTTTCTTAGTACATTCACTAATATCCATTACAAAAGTTTCAGCAGTCTCCCTCTAGGAATTTGCTGATGTTTATAGGTCCTTAGATCGGTGTTATTATTTTTCCTCCCTATATTGAGGCAATGGTCATCACTCGATCACTAATAAATTCAAAAACGGCCAAGAAAAAGCCAATAAATGCACAGCAGTAATCAGTCATTGTGTAGTTATATTTCTAGTTAGGATGTAACAGAGGTTATGTGCACAGATTCCCCACCAAAACATAAATCCCCAGCAAGTGTGAATGTAAGTGAAAATTGCATTAACTGGCTGGTAATTACACCCATTTTTAAACGGTCTCTTCATTACTTGCAGCTCAGAAGTAGTTGGACATTTGAATAGTAAGCTGCTCCATCAGCAGGTGTGGTTCCCGATTGTTTCCTCATTGTTTAAAATAAATCTGGAGCTGACTCTGGGGTTTGACTTTGCATTTGGTAGCTATTCATATGAACTGTCTGTGAAGGTTCTCAGTCATCCAGGTCATCGTAGTCAAAGGAGCTTGCAAAGAAAAGCGTCTGGACTTCTTTAAGTTACTTGAAGACGTTTCACCTCTCATCCGAGAAGCTTCTTCAGTTCTAAGGTCAAATGGTGGAGAGTCCCAGATATAACCTAGTGGGAGTAACCCCCCACAGAGGGACAAAAGGACCCCCTGATGATCCTCTAATCAGAATCAGAATCAGAATACTTTATTGATCCCTGGGGGAAATTATTTTTTGTTACAGTGCTCCATTTTAAACCAACATTAAAATTTGAAATTTAAAATTTAAAATTTGAACATTGGCATCCTCGAAAGAGTGTCCTTTATCCTTAAAATGCAGATGGACTGCTGAGTCTTGTCCTGTGGAGGTGGCTCTTCTGTGTTGTGCCATGCGCTTGTGAAGTGGCTGTTTGGTCTCTCCAATGTAGAGGTCTGGGCATTCCTCGCGAGGAATGCTCACATTTTGGACAGAGAGGACAGATGGTTTGAAAGAGGAGTGAAAGAAGCCATCTATGTCCACTGTGAGCGACCATCTTTGAACAGAGGCGGTGGTTTACGACACCAACTCTCTGCCATCTGTAATCCAGTTTTGAGATCCCTTCCCAGACGCCTTAACACCCACTCACATCCTGGGCCATCTGATCTCAGGAATTCGCATGATAAGGTGGGGCCAGGTTTCACAATGAACTCACCCGAAACTCGGGCTGATTGGGACCCACGCCCAGTTTCCCACCTTGGCTCAGGCGATTAGAGGATCATCAGGGGGTCCTTTTGTCCCCCTGTGGGGGGAAACTCCCACTAGGTTTATATCTGGGACTCTCCACCATTTGACCTTAGAACTGAAGAAGCTTCTCGGATGAGAGGTGAAACCCCTTCAAGTAACTTAAAGAAGTCCAGACACTTTTCTTTGCAAGCTCCTTTGATTCATATGAACTCTTAACTAGACCAAGGTGTGGTCAGTGTAATTTGAAAGGAAAACAAAAGGCCTTCCAGTTCTGGTATACCCAATTTGTACCAGGAAGATGTTAAGAGAAAAAAAACATATACAAAAGGCAAGGAAGAGCTCATACTACATCCTCTTTCAAAATGACATGGCATGTACTGTATGTTTGCCAGAGGAACTGGTTCACTAGTGTTTCTAGATAAAGTGACTGTTGAAGCAACAGGATGGATTTTTAAAACTTATAGCTTACACTGTGCTGAAAAGCTGCAAGACTAAAAGGCTGGTGCTTTACAGTGCAGATGGATAATGACCCCAAAACCCCAAAAGTTGTTTAAGGCAATGAAAGGGAATGTTCTTAAATGGCAGAGTCACTCACATGACCTCAGCTGAGTTGAGATGCCTTTTAGTGAAAGCAAAGCTGAAAGCAGACAGACTCACAAAGAAGCAGCAAAAGCCTGGCAGAGCATCTCGAGGGAGGACATGCAGCATTTAATGATGTCTGTGGAAAGGATTGCTACAGATTCCCATTTAAGTAATAATAATTATATTTATAATAATGCTAGTTTGTCCAATTACTTTGGCCTGTGTAAAAGACAGGACTGTAAATTATTAAAGGTGAATGCAAAAAATTGATTTGCATCTTGACTGCTTCATTTTAAATCCATGAGTGTTGTACAGAACCAAAGTTAGGGAAAATAGCCTGACTGTCCATACGCTTCTCTACCTGCACAGTCGGCAAAACCCTTTCAGGAACAGAGAGGTTAAAAAGGTACTTGGACTATAAACGAGTGTAAAAGCAGCCTAGATTAAACAGACATTAAAGGATGTAGTGGCATTTTCATGAACCGGAGCTTCATGTCCCGTGTTTACATTAAATGGAGCTTATCCTTCCACACAAAGCACTTTAGCCTAAGTGTTGTGGGCATAAAAGAAAGTAGGTGGAAATAAACCGTGAGACTTGGTCACAATGCTCACCTTGCTGTGAAGGTTTGGTGAGAAGTTGCAGCCTTCAAAATAGATCCCTCACCTTCTATTTTTGTTTTTGCTCTTTGTTTCCTGCTCTTTTATTATGTAACCGCATGCAGTTCTGCACTTTTCTTCTCTCTTTTCAGTGAAGACAAAAAATAAGGGCGAAGAAAGGTGCAGAGCTGCTCTTATTATACCACGATCACACTCTGTTCAGTCAGAGAACCTTTCTGGTTGTTTATTTGTGTTAAATAAGATGTCTTTCATTATGTTTTATCTTTTTTTCATTTGACGGGAGTTATTCATTTTGTGTCAGCAGTAACAAAGCAGCTGAGATACACTGAGCAGATGTAGCTTTGTAGTCGTACTCCTGCCCTGCTGATGATAATTTTTGATGACTTCTGTTTCTCTCCAGGCATCCAGGACTTTCCAGAGAACATCAAGAACTGCAAAGGCCTAGCAATTGTAGAAGCCAGTGTGAATCCCATATCCAAGTGAGTTCGACTTTCCCTCACCTAACACATTTTAGTTTAATGTTCCCTATAAAGTTTGGGTTCCTAGTGTTCTTGCAGAGGCTTACGAGGCTGCTTGTGTGTTCTCATTCGCGTTCTTGCCTTTGCATGTGTTATCAGGCTCCCTGAAGGCTTCACTCAGCTTCTGAGTCTGACGCAGCTCTACCTGAACGATGCCTTTCTGGAGTTCCTACCAGCCAGCTTCGGCAGGTCGGTTTCTTCCCTGGTTTGTCACACGCTGGACTTGATGGAGTCATGATACTGACATTTGAATTTTCTAAATGCAGTCAAGTCATTAACAACCGCAGAAATGCAACACAAAATGATGCTAGCTCGATAAGATGACCCAGTAGAAGTGATTTTGATTCATACTGTGGGCTACACTTGTGCTGTGTGGCACCAGGACCAAGTACTACTTATGTCATGTCAACAGCACAAAAGTGATGCAGCGAGCATACACAGAACTATTATATCTCTCAGACCTGGCTTACCATTAATTCTTTAGCATTTACATTTAAGTCATACTGGAGAAACACACAGCTTTAAAAAAATTATCACTTTATTTAAAATGATCATGTTGTCTTCTTAACATTTACTTACTATACTTTTCAATATATAGTTAGGCTACACAGATTATTAATCACTTTCATTACTTGCGCGTTACACAAAGTTTGTGTTGAGCCTTCTGAATGCAGAAAACGTGATGTGATCTGGTGCTGATTCCATCTTTATATTTCTTCCTTTTAGTACTAGTTCTATACAAGAGAAGATTACATCAGACTTTTTTTGCTGTCATGTAACTGCACATCATAGCTGCTTAGTGAAAGATAAGCCGGCTGAGAAAATCATGGCCGCTAAGCTTCAAAAGCCATTTCACATAATATCCCTTTTGGGGAAAATCAACTAATTATGACAATGATTTTTTTTCCTGCTTGCAGGTTGACTAAGCTACAAATCCTGGAGCTGAGGGAGAATCAGTTAAAGATGTTGCCAAAGTAGGTGGTTTTTATTTAGCAAACCTTCCAAATGTGAAATATGAAGAATGTTCATTTTAATTAAAAATAATAATAAAAGCAGAGTCTCTCTGAAATTAAGTCGCTTTATGAACTGCGACAAGATTTATTTTTTATTTTTTTTAATCCCTACTTCCTCATTGTCCTCTTCCTCTTGCACCCCCTGCTATGTCTGTCCTTTATCCTTTGTTTTAATCATAGACTCTTTCTCTAAACCTCTAACTGTAGTATTAAATTCCACTGTGTTACATAAGAGTCCCCTTTACTTGGCCACTTGCGCTGACAGGTTTTATAATCCTCTACTGAGACAGTGGTGAAGGTCTTTTTGCTATTTGAGAAGTGTGCTGTGAGACTGAATGTCCCACAGATATTAGAGAAAGCTCCAGGTGATTTTTGGGGGAAGTCACCGTCTCCCTGGTTTCTCTTTCATTTCTGTCACACTTGACTAGCTTTACCATCTTACCATGCTTAACGATACTTGCCTTTTTTTCCCCTTCCCCCCTCTGTCTGAGTTTCCTTTTATAATTTCCCCTTTATTATTATTATTTTTTGCATTTATTTTTCACTGACTGATGTTCCAGCCGGTGTATAAAGTGCAGTACAGTCAGTGCCACAGCTCGGAGCAGATTCCTTTTTTCTGGCTGTGTTTATGTGACAGAGGCCAGACCTGTTAAAGTCTGGAGGCCTGACAAAGAAAGGGACTAATGATCGGGAGCGTTGCCAGTGCAACACACAAGCATTTCAGAGATGTAAACAATGTGTGCAAAGGGGTGCAATAGAAGTCTTCTCAGGGCTTTCATGTAGAAGCTGCTGCCTCTATTCTCCATCTCTCTCCTCTGGTGCACAGACACACACTGAGCACATGCATAAACCAAGTGTTTTAAAGAAGGCTGCAGTGTTCCTCGCTCAGGGTCATAAGCCCCTTAGTGCTGTTTTTTTAACTGGTGAACTCACTTTCTAGATTAGCCAAAACAGCTCTTTCTCACCCTTTTTTAGCTGTTTGGTTTGGTGTGGGGTTTTTTGTGGTGTGGGGAGAAACGCTGTTCGTTCCTTGGTATCATTTCTGTCCCACAAGTACATTTCCACTAACACAGTTTTCACGGTGTCTTGATTTGCTTTAGGGTTGGGATTATACTTTTTAATCAACTTTTATATTCACATTGTGAAATTGACAGTCAATGGAAATGTTTTATTTTTATTTTGCTTTTATTTGCGCATGCGCGTGTCTGTGTACGTGCTACGTTTTTGTTTTTTGCTGCTGGCAGTAAAGGACAAATGTCCTCAAAGGTGTCTTGTTATTCGATCTGTGAGGAAAGAGTTGTTCTTAATCACTAATAATAAGCCTCTATGAAAATATTTTCTCTCCAGTTGTCTGTTGTGCTGTGGTCAGTTAAATCAGTGTTGTAAGCAGTGCGTGTTTACAGTGTAGGGGAGAATGTGAGCCTGTGGCCTGAATGTGAGAGAAAATTTGGAGCAAGGCTTAGGGCACATTTTCCATTATTTAGAGCATATTTCTATCACGCCTAAGCTCTAAAAGGTATTTATTTCCACATAAAATTATTCAGTGACAGGAGCGAAGGCGGAGCATGTGTGCTTTCCAAATCGAACAGCATGAAAACTGACTGATAGTGGCATAGAGGAGGAATTTTCTTATGGCTGTTCTTTTTCTTCTTCTTTAATATGTAAACCATGAAATTCATGTGTTTTTGTTGTTTTGTTTTTTATGTTTCCTTCTTGTGTGTCTGCAGAAGCATGCAGAAGCTCACACAGCTGGAGAGGTTGGACCTGGGGAGTAATGAGTTCACTGAAGTGGTGAGTATCTTTCAGTCAGTCTGTCACTGCTCGGGGCTCTCACCTCGTCCTTCCTTAATCTGTTCCCTGTCCTATTTTGGTTTTTTAAGCACGTATGTTGAAATTTTTCTTTTCCTTACACTCTGAACCGTCATTTATACATGATAATGTGATTCATTTTTTTTAGCTTGCTCACAACTACGTGCTTTCTCTTTTCTACATGTGCAGCCTGAGGTGGTGGAGTGGCTGACTGGACTCAAGGAGCTGTGGATGGACGGGAACAAACTGACCTTTTTACCTGGGGTATCATATACGCTCATATTCCCGTTCAGTGACTGCTGCGTCTTAACACATCATCTTGAGATTATTTCCCTCGATTCTCCCCCAACCCCCCAAAACTGTGTGTCTCCTCAAGTCTTCATCAAAACGAGCTGCAGTCAGTTTACATCAGACTTTGAGCTCTCTAAAACCAGCAGAGAGGGCTGCGCTTTGAACGCGATTCTGTCGTAGGATGAACTCGCACAACAAAATGCATAGTTTTGGGTTTGCATATGTCCCCCAGAAAAAAATCAGCTATGAATGAATTCTTATGTCGGTGTGTTGACAGTCAGGATTTGTTAAATGAGGCTCTTCTTTCATCCAAATGACCAGCTTGTTTGTAAGTGGGTCATAATTAAAGCATTAGTTCTGCTGCCAGCATTTCAGTAGCATCAGCTGTAATCACAATCTGGCCTTTTATAAGCCATGACGTCTGTGGAGTATGAAACAAACCATTAAGTGTTACTCATTTTATTAGCAGAACAGTGTTTTCAACCTAAAATAAGTGTGATATTGTCTCCCACTGTGGGATTATATCATGTCTGCATATATAGTTATTTACTTCACTGCAGAAAATGTTAGTTAACTGCTTGTTTGTGATCATTTTAATTTACTGCCACAGTTTGCATCTCATACTGCTGCATAAATTAAGGGTGACTTTTTATTTTATTTTGTGCAGATGTTGGGGACACTAAAACAACTGGTGTATCTAGACGTGTCGAAGAACAACTTGGAGATGGTGGATGAACAAATCCGCGGCTGTGAGAATCTACAGGACCTTCTGCTCTCCAACAATGCTCTCACACAGCTGCCAGGCTCCATCGGTAAAGATCTGACACACACACACACACACACACACACACACACACACACACACACACACCGTATTAGAAGACCTGTTATGAAACACCTTAACTCTCTTTTAGCTGTTGCCAGCTTTTAAATCTTTCCAAGCCCTTCATCAGTGAAAAAGCCTCTCTTGTCTCTTTCTATGTCTCTTTTAGCACTTGCAGTGTGAGCCGACGGGACAGTACTACCACAAGACTTTATTTTTCTGTGTCATTTTCTCTAATAGAAACTGATCTATATATAATTGCAACAGAGCATGAAACTGATGTGCTGCATAATAACCTTTTACTTATTTTTCAGTATTCAGTGTTATTTTTGGTTTTTGATGAAACCAAATTATGCTAACAATATAAAACTGTAGTGAAGTACACAGTGAGATACTCATAACATATTGTGATGTCTGTAACAGAAGAAATACAATTATTCAGATATTTCTACAGCTCAGGATTGCTTTTACCCAACCCTTATTCATCTCTAATGAATTAGGTTCCAATTACTCATGTATTCAAATGTCACGGGTATGAAACATTTAGCAATATCAATGCAGCTTACTCATTTATGATTCACTGCGTCGTTTTGTTTTTCTTTGTGGACAAATAGAAATAAAACACCATATTCAATTTGGGTTACATTTGTGACAAGTTGTTAAGTGACCAGTAAAAATAAATAAATTGCTCAAAAATTAAGAAACTGATATTTAGTATTATACATATTAAGAATAAAGTTATTTGTGTAAAAAAACAAAACTCCACAGGTTTTAAACCAGTGTAAAGACACACATTGGCTCACAAAGGTAAATATGATTTAAACATGAGGTTAAAAGTTCTGTAAAATAAAATCATTGAGTACAATAATGTAGACTTATATTAGATGTTCTGGGCAAGCCTAAAAAAAGCAACCTGGATCAGCAGTTTTCTTCCAGCCATGAGGGACACAGTTAACTCAGCATTAAGGCCTCTGTCGCACAGACCTACAGACCAGCTAGCAACCATCTGGAAAATGTATGCGCCACTTGGTGGGGGTTGCTGCCAATTGCTATGAAACCATTGAACCCCATTCCATTCGATTTCAATTCAGTTTTATTTCTATAGCACCAAATCATAACAACATTCACCTCAAGGTTATTTATAAAGATAAAGACCCTACAATAATAGGGAGAAACCCCAACAGTCAGATCACCCCCTATAAGCAAGTGGCCAGAGGGGCCGATGGCGCGATATGGCAGCCTCGCTTCTGTCAGTCTGCCCCAGGGCAGCTGTGGCTACAACTGTAGCTGCCTCCACCAGTGTGTGAATGCGAGAGTGAATGAATAGTGGTATTGTAAAGCGCTTTGGGTGCCTTGAAAAGCGCTATATAAATCCAATCCATTATTATTATTATAGTTGGCGACAGTAGGAAGGAAAATCTCCCAAACAGAACGTGTCAGTGGCAGCGATGCTGCCCCATTAACCCTCAGCAGTGCAGAGCCCGACAACTTCTCTGTGCGACTGGGTGACAGACAGCTGACAATTGTGTTGGCTACTTTTTTTCCCCTTTTTCAAATGTTAATTTTGACAAATAGGTGCCTATTTTTCGAAATAAATTGTAAAGCTACATTTATAATATTTATTGACAGTCATAATTTTGAATGGCATACTTACTCCCATCCCTTTTGCAAAAAACAAGACTAATAAAATCCTTTAAATTCATGCAAGCACTGCTGTTGAAATCATGGTTGATGACGACTGCTATAGCCATTACTGTATTGACAGTATGAATTAATCTAATTAACTGGTGTGTAATGGATCTTCCTCTTTGCTGCGTACCAGCAAGTGATAGTCAATAACTGATCTGAGCTGTTGTCGACGCCTTCCTGATCCTAGCTCTCTGTTCCTTTTTTTTTTTAAAGGCAACCTGAAGAAACTGACTGCACTGAAAGTGGATGAAAATCAGCTGATGTACTTGCCAGATTCCATTGGAGGGTGAGCATCACAGCAATAGATTTGATAACAGCAGAGTAAACCCTGAGCTCAGTGGATTATTGTGTCGTTTTTTTTATATCTGGAATCCATTGATCTGATAAAACGTTTTTCTGGAAAAAGTAAATATCCCCATTAAAGAGAATGCAACCCCTGCTCGGTTTGTTTTGGTCTCGCGCTGATGATTGGTAGCTTAGTAATGGCTATGGTTATAAAGAGTGGTTATGAATGTCAAGTCTTTGAATCTGCCATAGCGATTTAAGGACAGTTCATCCATTTGCTTCAGTGTGGAAGGGCTGCTGGTAAACACTGGTCTCATGACCCTCATAGACAGTAATGATATGAAATCCTGTGTTACTATTCAGAGGTTTTTCTGTCTAATGTATACAGGTAAACCCTCAGTCGCCAGCTGCTGAGTACCGAGCCAGGTCCACACGCTGATCCTCTTTCTACTCTGAATCATTGACACACAGTTGACAAAGATTAGGTTCCATTTAATCCATGCTTTTATTTTTTTAATCCATCCCCTCCAACATCCATGAGAAAGACAAATCTACATTACCTGATAAAAACAATTGTATCTGTGCAGTTTTTTATTACTGTTTTCAAACACCCTCAATTGCCCCTTATGTTAGAATGTGCCGCCTTATGTACTTTGACGTAGATTATGTGACAAAGCCTATGGTTTAACTTAATCCCATGCAAGGGTTTTAGTTTAAGCAAGCTCATTTCCTCCCCCATTTATATGTAGCTGGTTTCGTTTTACTTCGCCACTTGTCCACTGGGGTTTTTTTGTTTCCCTGGTGTATTTTTAGTAGACAGGCGTCAGATCCTTGTGGCGTTTCATGGTACTGTAGCATATGAGCTTTCTGGACGTGGGGCTGCTTTGCATTAATATGAAACCCAGCGTGCATTTACATTTTTCACTCAGCAAAATTCCGCTTAAAGGATGTCCCATGAAATATTTGAGATTTGCATTTGCATCAGTCTATTTGTGTTTCACCGTCACTGTACAGTAACATTGATCAGAGCTTTTCTTATTTAGTTACTTAGCTGTTCATTATTTAATAGTCTCTGTGAAGAATTTAAAGAGATCAGAATGCACTGACGGTTGTAAGCAATGAAACCAGATGCATGTTAGTATGCTTAACAAAAAGAGCCACCTAAATGTGGTAGCAGCGCTGTGTTCAGTTTCTTCTGCATGTGTTTGAAGCCCAGCAGCTGCCGTCTGAAAGAGCTTTTTCAGAAAGAGCAAAACTCCAAGTGAATCTTGTGCTAACATCCTAGACATTACATGGCTGTCTGCTTAACATCCTTCAGCCATCCTGAGCTTTCTAGTAAGTAATAGCTTGCTTAGCTACAAATCTTAATATTGTTATTGAAGCCCTGTCCATTGGCCGTTCCTTTGGAGTTGATGTTGCTCTTGGTAATCTTCTTAAATATTTCCCACCCTGTTATGACTGTCTGTGGCAGTTTAGAGCTAAGATGATCTTAATTTAGTACCTGCCCACTTGGTGGTGTTAATGGCTTTTTCACCTGTTAACAAATTGATATTGTAACCAGAGAGCCAAGAAATTGTAGCACGTAGGAACAATAATGTACCACAGACAGGGATCCTACCATATCATCCTTCTTTCCATCTCAACCTAATTTTCTGTCTCTGCAAACAGTGTAGGATATGTGACTGTGCAAAGGACCGCAGAAATAAATTCACCACGTCACACACAGTCTAATCCCAGATTGCGCGCATTGATATAATTTACATAAATTAGATAAACACGTTTACTGTATTTAATAAATAGGTCTCAAGTTATACTGGTGTGTGTGTGTGTGTGTGTGTGTGTGTGTGAACATGCAGATGTCCAATCAGAGATGAGCAAAAACGAAATTAAATAAAAAAAAATGTATTGGTGTTCTCCATTGCAGCAGTATGTTCAGTATTTCTTTGCTTGTGAGTGTCTGGCTGCTGGTGGTAACTTCTTGGCAATTTAACTGCAAAAAAACTGCCATTAAAGTGGATTTTTGCCATGTCTCTCTGCATCAGGCTGACATGCATTGATGAGCTGGATTGCAGTTTCAATGAGATTGAAGCGTTGCCAGCCACCATTGGCCAGTGTGTCAATATGCGCACCTTTGCTGCAGATCACAACTTCCTTGCCCAGCTTCCACCCGAGGTGAGTGTGCGCATCGGTTTGTAGATTTTAATCCGTGTGTTCACTGTCTGCAGTGAGAGTCATTGGTGTGCTCGCTTCACAGATGGGCAACTGGAAGAGGGCAACTGTGCTGTTTCTACATTCCAACAAGCTGGAGTCTTTGCCCGAGGAGATGGGCGACATGCAAAAGCTCAAAGTCATCAACCTCAGCAACAACAAGTGAGCCTTCTCTGCTTGTTGTATTTTTATTTTTTTTGTATTTTTTTAGAAACTCTGGCCTGATTTTAAATATTATCTAAATCCAAACACGCAATTGCTGTAGTCTTCTGTTTTTTGTTGTGCATCAGATCTATTTGCAATTATTTACTTTGTTCAGACTAAACAAGATGTTAACTATGAAATCTACACATTTTGTTCCAGATTTTATCAGAATTACACAACATAACTGACAAAACAATTGTTAGATTAGTTGATAAAATTAAATGATATATAATCAATTTTACGTACTTTAAATCCAGGACATTTTAAAAGCAGTGATTCCTTCACTATGTAAAGCTACCAGTTAATAAAAGCAATCAAATGTCTTGTCTTATGCTTATTTTCAAATGTGATGTTTGAAATTGTACCTGCTGATTACAGTATTGTGATGAAGGCTTATTAGAATGAAAAAAAGGTAAGGTCTTGATCGTTTCCTTTTTTAAGAAAAAAGCGACATTTTCCAGGCTTCTCTTTTATAGTCGGCCTGCTTAGATCAAATTTGCCTGACAAAATGAATTAAATTGACTTTTTTTTTTTAACTCGCCCAGGAAAGCAGTTTTAAGCGTTTTGGTGACTGAGTTTTGTTTTTTTGTTTTTTGTTCTACTTCAGGTTGAAGAATCTTCCGTACAGTTTCACCAAACTGACTGAGCTGACTGCAATGTGGCTGTCTGAAAATCAGGTAAGGCTGCACAAGTATTAGGCATAAAACAATAAGGCCTCTGGGTTCAGAAGTGTCAGATGGGGACAGCAATAGCAGGAGCGTCTGTGACTCGCACTAAAAATTCAGCTGTAAATCAAGAAGCCTTCCCGGTAGCTCGCAGGAAGGTACATCTAACCACTTCCAGGACATCTGATCTAATGCAGGTCAGATTGGATGACCAGTCTTTCAAACAGAGTAGAGGTTTCTGGCACAAGTTCATTTACAGCTAAAGAGGTTGAAGCACCAGTAACACTTGTATTATAAAGAACCTCTGTATTGCTTGATCAACACATTTGGGTCATTCTGTATTTCAAATTTAAAAGGATCCTAATGATTCTCAGAAAATGCCCCCTTAATGGTTATTTGAGTGGCAATCTAGACAAGAAACCTTGCCCACTGAATGTGTAAATCTGAATGACAAGGAGGGCATTTGTAAGACGAGACTGCAGCAGTCAGACGGAATTAAAGTGGTGTTCAAAATTACCAGGCAAGTTGAGGTGCATGAAATTTGGACTTCTTAACAGGAAATGTCTGGTCGGCTCACATGAGAGCAAAAGGTTTATAATCCCAATTTGTCACAGCAGGGTGACTTTCTATTGTAAAGGAATACTTGACCTGGTCATATTGTCAGTATACAGAGGCAACGAAAGGATGGAGAACACTCTGTGGGACACTGTGGATTCAGTGTGTTGGCTTTTGTTCAGCTTATTTCCAAATTGCAGTCTGACTCTTGACTGCATTCTCAAATCAATTATTCATGCCTTTTCCCCTCTCCTGGCTAGACTGTCCCAAGGTTCTGTTTGGGTGCCTTAACAAATTGTCCCCAGGAAACTGCAGCTGTTTGAGAATGCTGCAGAGAGAAGATGTAGAGTCATCCACACAGCATCCATCACTGCTGTCCTGCTCTTATATAAACTGTCTGATTTGTAATGAATAAAATCTCTAAAATTTTGTGGTCCTTATATCTTTCCACAATCACTTTCCTACCTAAATAACTCCTAACAAGGACACTGCGAAGACAGGCAGTCTGCAACAGCTACATCAACACTAAGACACATGGATGCAGTTGGACAGGTGCAACAATGCAGACGGGGGCCTAAGGCAAGCTTAGAACAGCCTCATCAACAAATGGATGACAGGAAGAGGCACCCAGATGTGTTAAAGTAATGTGAAAGCAAATTAGAAGTGAAGAAAGTCGGCGTGAAATAGCTGTGTAGAATTCGGGGAAGACGGGTTGAATTTATCACGGCTCCATCTTGTGATGTGTTATTTTCCCCTGCGGTTAAGTGTTCTCTTCCATATTTACGTTTTTGATGTCCCATGTATTTGTCAAAGAGCTGCTGATTTTACATGGCACTCAACCCCATATTTTGTCCACACAGTCAAAACCCCTGATCCCACTCCAGAAAGAGGAAGATCCAGAGACTCAGAAAACAGTGCTGACCAACTACATGTTCCCCCAGCAAATTAGGATTGAGGAATGTGAGTAACTGCTCTTTGTTTGATATACATTTCCAAGCTGTAAGTGGCAGACTATCAAACACTTCACTCACCCACCTGGGTTTCAGCATCAGGACTAAGTACTACTAGCACTGACATAAACCCTAAATTCTCATGGACATTCTTAGGTGTTAAGAAGACTATATTGTGTTACCCTCACAAAGTTTGATGACCTACAAGGATCCCTAAATGCATATTTTATAAAAGACCTTGTTATCTGAGACTGAAGCAGGGGAAACACTAGCCATCGTCTTCTTGTCAAGCACCTGTTTGTTTGGTTTCCTTTTACAGCAGACGGCTCACACTGACAGTGTTGTATCTTTACTTTAGAGTAATTAGTGGTTCGTGGTCGGCGTGCTTGAGCTACTGAAATGGTCACGAGTCTTTTTTGAGACGTCGGGGATTTCTGTCACAGCCTGAACAGTTACGGCCCTGTGGCGGGCTTTACACCATTTGCCGTGTTTATTAGCTAGGGCTTGTTTCCGATCAAGCCTTTTCTTTTGCTTGGAAGCTGGAAGTATTCACAGCCTGACTGCAGTTAACATGTTTTACAACTTGTTGATATGGAGAGTACACAGCAGGTGACTCAGCGGGTTCACTGTGACTTCACGCTGTGGGGTGTTGTCAAGTGAGCTACAGTTGTGTGTGTAATCTTTTGAGCTGATGTTGTCAGAGAATTAGTCAAATGGGATCTCTTATCAGAAAATTCTACTACACACCTTCACACTTAGTCTCTCTATTGCTAAATCGAGAGCAGTAAGCTTTTTACAACAGGAAAACCACACTGATTGACACCTTCACAAATATTTCACAGCGTCTAATTGTCTGCTTGCTTCATTTCAGGCAAGTCGTACAGGAGTTATGGTGAAACAGAGAGACTGAGTTGAATCTTTCATGCTTTTTTCATTACCGATTAACCACAAACTTGCTTCTTTGCGTTTACGGTGGAGTATTCATACTAAGTATGTACATACATACATGTACATACTTAGTACATAGTAGCAAAATATTCTCTTGGAATTTTTGGATGCCATCATAGAAAAGGAATTTATTGCAACATCAGTTCCAGGGTTTAACAGCCCTGTTTGGTTCTTTTTGGAGTTTTTTGGGTTAACTCCCAATTTTCAAGTTCCTCCACAGCTCCCTTCAGTTTATTGGCATTCCTCGTGTTTCCTTTGCGCCATCTTGTGGTCACATTTATTATGTGACAGATTTAGGTTGAATTAAAAAGTCCTAATTTGGGTGGGGAAAAAATTCAAAAGACAAATTTTGATTCACTGCCTGGCATTTTTATTTTTCCCCACAGACATTCCAAACTCTGACTCTGAGAGCTTTAATCCAACTCTGTGGGAGGAGCAACGCAAGCACCGAGCTCAGGTGGCCTTCGAATGTGACGAGGACAAAGATGAGAGAGAAACGCCCCCGAGGGTTAGTGCTGCACATTTGTTACTGCTTATATAATTGGAAAAGGAAAAACAACAGTGGCGACACGAATTACCGCAGCAGCAGGGGCTTTTTTGGACACAAATCTTCACTTTGTTTCCTCCTCTGCGGGGATGGGGTCTTATAAAATGGGATGTAATTTCTGCTTAACCCTGTCATCTCTAGCATGAAAGCAGTCTTATTTATTTCAGCGTGTTACCATTTTTGGTCAGCTTTAATTTTAAACTCTGTGTATTCAAACTGTTGTAGGAGGGAAACCTGAAGCGCTACCCTACACCATACCCAGATGAGCTGAAGAACATGGTGAAAACAGCCCAGTCGGTGGCTCACAGGCTCAAGGAGGATGAGTCGAGTGATGAGTCCAGCAAAGAAGCAAAACCTGTTGAGAGAAACCACATTGGAGTGCAGGATGTGGGGGTAAAGGTCAGTGAAGGGCTCCACTTGGAAAGAAACCAGCCTCTTTCATTTCTGGTGTCATGTTGTTGGATTCATTTAAATTCCCTTTTTAACCTCTCCATAAGGTTTTAATGCATAACTAATCACCTGGACTGTTTTTGTGCAGGTGATTGAAGCCCCCTGTCCCAATGGTGTAGCGTCAAACATGGAGGCCCAAGTGTCTGCCGACGTGTGTGGCCAAAATCTCTCTGCACCCGAAGCAAAGGACACTTCTGAGTCTTACAGCTCCCAGAAAATCCCCCTCAAGTCTTCAGAGGACTCGATGATGAACCACGAGGACACACTAGAGGTAATCCAAATAATTCAGTACTTCAGATTTTTAGGACTTCTCACAGTTACACAAACAAGAAGTACAAAGTGCTTCCTCTGTCTTTAGGATTCTGAGGAGCTGTCAGATGAAGAAGACGAGATGAAGATTGCAGAGCTCAGACCCCCTCTTATTGAGATTTCCATCAACCAGCCTAAAGTAGTGACTCTAAGTAAGGATAAAAAAGGTAACTATGAAGGATCTAAAGTGAAAATTGAAATGTCTGGATGCAGAACACTGACAGTAATTTCTGATTAACAGATGATGGGAAAGATGCAGATTCTTTGCTGGATGACACCGTGGCTAACAGTAACCAGAACAACAGTAACTGCTCATCTCCATCACGCATGTCAGACTCTGTGTCTCTGACCACAGACAGCAGCCAGGACAACTCTTTGTGCACACCTGAGAGAGAGGCAAAGATGCCTTTCCTACCAAAAAGCCGGTTAGTGCTTTTCCGTATGGTAATATACACTAAAGAGGGGAGTGCTCCTCCTGCTCTTATTTTACTATTTCAGTATTTGTCCTCATTTCAGGCAAGAAGATGAGAATATGAACCAGCCTAAAGATACCACCCCTCTCCTCCATAATGGCAATGGCTCTGAAACGTCCCTCCAGGCCCTCTTAAAAACCCAGCAGGCACCACCAGAGAAAATGGGAGACTACGACCTGTCCATGGAAGCCAGACTGGCCTTCATTGAGAAGGAAATAAACAATGGTATGGGAGACACGTACACCAAGTGGGACCAGATTAATATGAATGTGACCAAGCTGCCAACTGACAACATGGTTCAGCTGGATGAGCTGGATAAAGGCAAGAATGGTTCGTTAGCTCAGGAGGAAGTGGACAGCAAAGAGGGTTACGATAACATGGATCATTTACAGAATGGAAATCGACAGGCAGGTGACTGCAACGATAGTCTGGGGAATAAAAGCCTAGGGATGAGAGGAGAAACAGCTGCTGTGCACGTGGCCTCGACAGGCGTGACAGCCTGCAGTGACATGTCTCTATCTCACAGCACTGAGGAACTGTCTCCAGAGAAAAGGTGCCATCCCCTGCAGGTGTTGAAGTCTCACAGCATCAGCAACATAGAAACAGGGGCCATGAGGTTGTACTCCTTTGATGGAGATGATGACTCAGTGGGGACTAGGGTGGCAGGGGCCGGGCCAGGGCCAGGAGCTCAGGGCCAGAGCATAGTCAGGAGCAAGTCAGCCGGCCAGTTGCTCAATGATCAGACTCTCCTGGTCTACCCCAACTCCTCTGCGTCCTCTTCAGACCTGCTCTCCTCTTCTAAGCTTCCTGCCAACACAAGCAGACATCCAGTCTCCTCCAGCATGGCCATGGGAACCCCTCCTCCTCAGTACAACATACAATACACAAACAGTGACATGTCTAAAGAGGGTCTCTGGGGGCAGAGGACAGCCATGGCTTCAGAGCAACAAGGCTACCATCCTGCTCCTCCTCCACACTCACTAGCCAACACAAATTACTCAAACCGTAATCAGGCGCCTCCTTACCCTCTGCAGCCCCAGCAGAGAGGCCCTGCGATGGCTTCCAAACCTTCTGGGGAGATGTGGGCTATGGAGAGACTTCATTCTGCTGCAGGCCAGCCTAGAAGCAGCACCCTACAGAGGCAAGGCAGCACTAGCTCCACAGCTTCCATGTCTGACCCAAGGCGTATGCAGTTGTCCGAAGGAGACTACATGACATACAGGGACATTCACACCCTCGCCAGAGGGCCACTAGCAATGAGTCACGCCATGCAGAGGCCCCTCTCAGCTCGCACTTACAGCATCGATGTACCTGGAGCTTCCAGGCCTCACAGCAGCAGGCCACCGGCCCATGAGCTTCCAGAACGGACCATGTCTGTTAGCGATTTTAATTACCAGCACAGCAGCCCCAGCAAGAGGCCCAACACCAGGGTGAAGTCTGAGCACTCACTCCTCGACGGGCCAGGACAGATGCAGGGAGGAATGGGAGCAGGGAGGGTTCCAGTAGACTGGAGAGACCAGGTGATGCGGCACATCGAGGCCAAGAAGATGGAAAAGGTAAAGAGTTTTATTATGAAAAAAGAACGTGCGTGTGTGCGTGTGTGTGTGTGTGTGTGTGTGTGTGTGTGTGTGTGTGTGTGCGTGTGTGTGTGTGTGTGTGTGTGTGTGTGTGTGTGTGTGTTCATCCATAAAAGCCCACCAGCATAACATGACCACAAATGAACTCCTAATATTCTTTAGGTGGAAGACACTTTAAACAACAGGATCTCACTCTGCACATAGTTTTGGTTTTTGTTGGTGCTTCTGAATGCAAACAGAATTTAAGACTGTAGTGTCAAATAGAGGCAAAGAATACATAAATGAAAGCAATCACCATAAAGAGCCCATCCCTACTTTGAGTCACCTCAAAACCTGCTGAAACAAACCAAAACCTAAATGTTTGTGTGAATCAGCTATTTAGGTGTAGCCTACTAACCCAGCTATATGCAAACTATACGTGATTCACTGCATGTTTGTCTGTATATGCTTTAAACCTCTTTGTTGTGTTTTTTATTATGTCATCACTCATTTGGTGCATTGCATGGCCACCACTGACTTGTTGGTGCTGGATGTTCCGTGTCATCAGAACGCGCTGTCTCGCTCCTATAATTCCAATAACGCTCCGCTGAGCTGGTCTCACTACGGCAGCTGTAGGGATATGCATGCCAGCCAAGGGTCCCTGGTCTTTAGTGTCAGGGACGGACAGCCCTACGGAGCTCTGGGCTTCTGTGTGAGTACTGTCAACTCGTAGATCGCTCCTGCAGCTCATACTAAAGCCAGGGTATCCAGTTCCTGCAAGTTTCACATCCTTTACAAGAGAAGGAAATGTCTGTTTCCTTCTCTCGCCAATGTTGAAGTGATCACAGATGCTCGGAAGCCATGTTTCACTTGTCCTTTTATAGGCAAGGGAAAATATCATTCCCAACATATGATTTTCATGACCATGATCTCTGTTAGTGCCTAAAATATCAGAGTGAAACATGGATGAATTCTGGTTTTTGTGTTGTTTTTTTGTGGTTAAATACAAGTAGAGCTGTTTAAAAGGGGTCTCCTTCTTTATTTGTACCATCATTAGTTGGTTTACTTGGTTTCTCATTTAGAAACTTTACTACATCTGTGGTAGAATGAGATTAGTATAATTTCATACTGAATTTTGATAAAAATTATTTGGAAGTAATCAAAGGTGAAACTGCTTCCTAACAAAATTTAGAGGCTGTGTGAGGAAAAAAATATCGGACAACATGAAAACAAACTTTGTTTTGTTCTCTCTAAGAAAAGTCTACTTTCATTTATTCATGAATATTAAGTATGGTACAAAGCAGCTCCTTTTAAACCTACCAGGCTCTTGTACATCAGAATCAATATCGCCGTGCGTCATCTGTCTTCCTTGTTGCTCTTGCATTTCACAAACCATTCATTTTCTTCTCCTTTAATTGCACTTCAAATGCTGCTTTTGCTCGTCTGCCACCTTCTTCAATCCAAACTTTTGATCACTTCAGAATCGCTTCATAACCTCTCACGGTGTGTGTGTGGGGGGATGAAAGCTATGTTTGTGGAAGGTAAGTAGTCAATGTGTGTGTCTAAATGATTTAGAAAGGGGGTATTAGATCTGTAGAGGCAAAACTAAAGCTGTCTGAGAGTGTTGTGTAACCACTTTACTGCTTAACATTCAAGATTCATCTCATCTCCTGGTGGCTAATGTTCCAAATTATATTCTGCTTGGTGTTTAAATAGAAGCTATGCAGACTTTAATCTCAGTTTTTCGTGTCTTAGTTGGTGTGTTGATCGCTCTGTGGTGTCGTCTAAATCAACAGCTTGTGTGATCCCAGAGTCTCAGTAATCGATGTTTTTTGTTATCCTTGATTGCAAATGGGGTTAAAGTGGGCAAGTCCCTAATGGTGTCCCAGCACCTTAAATCCAATAGGCATGTCCTTCCAGCTGACTGCATGGAGATACTTGCTCAAGAAGAAAACAATGACATCCCTCCTACACCTTCGACACATCCTTTTTTCTTCCCATCCTTGTGATGTGTTCAGGGTGCAGATGTAAAGTTGTGGCCAAGGTACTTTAGCGTCTAGTAAGTCATGTAGAAGAAGAGTGTGCATAAATGGACGGGCTGGGGGGGGCGGCATGCTAGTGTGGACAAGAGAGGAAGATGAAATATTATTTTCAAAGGTAAGGACTGCCCAGCAAGTGAAATTTTATAAGAGAAAAATTGGAATTTTACTTGTCATTTTCTAAAATCATAATTTTGAGAAAGGATAATCGTCATATTTGCTAAATCCACAAAGAGAGCGAATATCAGAGTAGCAGTTGATCAGTGTGTACACACAAAGAAATCAGCTGGAGATCACAGAGCTAAAGTAAGTCTTTCTACCATGCTGCACGGCTGCTGCACCCAATCTTAGGGTTTCCACTTTTGCCAAATCTCCACTTTAACCCCTGGTTGCAAATCGATTTCAGTGGATTGAGGTTGAGTGCAATGTTGGTAATCGTTCCTTTCTTCCCATCCAGGATGATGTTTTTGGTCCCCAAGGGATGCAAAACTACACTTTGGACCCTGCCAGAAAAGTAAGTCTACTACCGCCAGACTGTGGTTAGCAAATACAAGTTTGTTTAGAGTAAACAAGATGTTATGCATCTTCTATTCATCCAAACTGATAGTTTTGCTACAAGGGAATTAGGGATAGAAATTCCAAGCAATAAAACCTGCTGATTGTGTGTGATTATTTCTTAGGTGCCTTTGATGAATGGTCAGATGGGTCCTTCGGCTCGTCCTCCGATGAGCCAGTCGTCCATGGCACGTCACCCTTCCAGAGAGCAGCTCATCGATTACCTGATGCTCAAAGTCTCCCAGCAGCCCCAGGGGCCTTCACGAATTCCACTTGAACCCATCCAACAAGAGGTGAAGGATGGATTATTACTCAAAGAAATATGCGATTCAGTATTTAAGGGAATGACGTATTTTCTTAGAGAAGCCTCTTTCCATTAGCTGAGGTGTTGTCATTATGCCTCATCGTGACTGGCCCAGACATTTAAGAATATCAGACCGATTTGATGACTGGCTAAATTCCATATTGAGCTTGTGCCAGCCCCTTTTTTTGCAACTTACACTGCTGTTCCAAGTTAAGCTTGTTCCTACTCCCACAAGTCTGAACTTGGCGTTCTCAACCAGAGACGGTCCAGTAAAAATCCAACTGCCTCAGGTTATCGTTTCAGTTTTATTTAGTTTCTCCTTCATCCTTTGTGGTAAACTAAGCTAACCGCTAGCTGCCTGCTGAATTGCATTAAATAGGCCAGATGTTATTACACTCAAAGAGTCTATGTTAACCTTTTTAGCATATTGCAGTTGATGTGGTCTGAAAGTGACCTAGACTTCTGCACCTCCTCTGAGCTGTGATGGTAGACTCTGACTGTACTCGTCTGGTGGTTTCATTAGTTCTTCCCCTGCCACTTGAAATTAGTTCAATGTTCGCTGACATTGAGAACCTGATATTCTTGTTCACGCCAACGGAATTTTAGTAGCTTTCTTTCGTTTACATTTATCGTAGCTGACACTTTAAGTCGAGAAAACTTTCTCCTTTAATTTTACGACTAATGTCAATATATTGTATCGTAAGAGTGATCATGCGTAATGAAAGTGTGTGGGTGTGTTTCAGATCCGTGTGAAAGTGGAGAAGAATCCTGAGCTGGGTTTCAGTATATCAGGAGGAATCGGAGGCCGGGGAAACCCCTTTCGTCCTGATGACAATGTAAATTAATACCATATTTTGTCCCCCGCTTGCAAAGAAGTCAGTTCTTTTCTAAGATTGTATATCTTATTGTTATAATTTCAGGGTATATTTGTAACAAGGGTTCAACCTGAAGGACCGGCATCAAAAATTCTTCAGCCTGGGGATAAAATCATCCAGGTACTCTGCTGTCTGTAGGAATCAGTGTTTTGAGATTAATGTCTTTGGAATATTAACCAATAATCTAATCTACCGTTTTCTTCTCCCTCCTCAGGCAAACGGATATAGCTTTGTAAATATCGATCACGGGAACGCAGTGTCCCTTCTGAAGACTTTTCCAAACACTGTGGACTTGATTATCGTAAGAGGAATCCAAGCATAGACTGAAACTGACCTCAAATAGAGTGTGACATATGGGAGAAGAACTGAAAAGCATACGTTGACTTGTCATATTTTTGTACTCAGAAACTGATCCATTGCTACCTATCGGGACTATTTATAGTAGAGATCATGGGAGCCTTGATTAAATGGGGAAAAAACCACTGAATGTAGTGGATCAAAGTGAGACAGCAGAAGAACATCTGCAAGTACGAGTCCGAGTCCTCAAAAGGCCATCACTGTGGAATATATATATATATATATATATTCTTTTTTTTTTACAAAAGAAGCTGAAGATATGACGTCACTTACTGTGGTCTCTGTACAGGTCATCTTTTTTTTTTTTTTAAACCCCAAAACTCTTCATGAGTGGATCAGGAGTTTGATTTCACTTCTGCAGATGGATATTAATCTGACCACTAGGGGGCAGAGCTCCTTCTTTTCTGCCATCCAGTTTGCCTTTTTTCTTTTCTTTCTTTTTATTTAAGATGTTGAAACCATTTTCCAGTCTGCTTGCGATCTTAACTGGAGGACAGTGTTACGTGCTTGCTATGTAGAGACGAATGTGGATCAAGGAGGTGTTTGGCTTTGTTTTTTTGTGGGAGAGATGCCCCCCACCCCCCATCCCATTTTTATTTTGTTCTTGCAAGATCAAACAGTTTGCTTCCACAAACCTGCGAATCTCCACCATCATACAGACACTTCACTATTTCAGCTCATCCCTGACCTCATCACTCCAACTGGGCATATCACATTGCCACATTGGATTGTGGAAATCTGCAATATAAATGGAGCTGAAGAAATGCACCCTGCATGCAATACAGAAAAACACAGATTATTGGGAAATATTCATATTTGGTTAGTAGGTAGATTGTTGCAGATGGATACATCGAAGTTGTTTCCTTGTTTTTAGGTGCATTTCTCGAATCATGAGAGCTGTTTGACTCTGAGGACGATGTGGCGGTTATGCTAGTTTAACCAAAGCAAGTTTAGAAACCGTGGACAGACGGTAAAGAAAAGCAGGAGGTATCTTAAGAGAGACTTGAGTCATGTTTTTAATTTTTATTTTTAGGGGCTTCCTCTTTCAGGCAGCCGACAGTGAGCTGAGAGGGTTTCAACATCTGGCAGTTTTATTATAATTTTTTTTTTTTTTTTTTAAATGGACCATAGGTTGCCTTGTGTGTCTATAAAAATGTTTAGCCATTGTTTTAATCACCTTTTTGTTTTGGGGATTTTCTTCGCTGTACAGAGAATAGATTTAGGAGAAACCAGTTGTCAAGTGCCATAGACCTTGAACTGTTTGAACAGGGTGGTGGGGGGACCTTTGACGCCAGAACCCAAGCAATACTCACATATTCACAACCTCCTGAGTACGTTTGCAGCATAATGGCTTAGAAGCAATATTTAAAGCCTTTATTTTCATTCACACAAAACAAATCTTTTTTTTAAACAACACAACCTTTTAGTATTCCCTGATGATTTTACATGATTTTTTATATTGTGAAAAGAATCTTTTTGTAATGAAATGGCACAGGAAATAAATATATGGTAGTGTTTCAAAAAAGATTAAAAAAACAAACAAAAACTCTGCGTTGTGTAAGAGCAGGTTTTAGCGTGTGTTGCGTAGCATACCGTGTCTTCTAATGTTTTAATGTAGGTCGAAACATTTGTAATGTTCGTCACCGAAGGAAAATTGTGGTTTTTAAAGCATTGTCATCAGCGTAAAAAACTAGACTCTGATTGGGACAGTGAATGCCTCATTTGCAGCCGCACATTTGTGACCACTGAGTTGTACAATATAAATTGCATTTTAACAATGTTCTTGTTCTTGTTTGAACAAGAAGCATCCCCTCGACTCACGACGGCCGATTAGATTAGGAGTCGTCTGCTGGGCTCTTCTTGTACGTGGCAACAGTGGGAAAGTATTTGATTCATGTGGCACTGACAAACCAAAATGACAACACTGTGGAAATTGACGACATTTTTATCCCTTTTAATAAAATAATATTTAGAATATCACGCTGATCTAAATGAAGCTGTACCATTTTAGTTTTTAAATTCAGTCTAGTTTGGGCAACTTTTGTTTTCAGGAAAGTGACAACATAATGTGCTTCTGACATTTTTAGTTTCTCACAACCTGTTTTTTGTTTTCACACTGATGAGATTATTGATTTTATTTGTTTTAATTTTGTGGGTTGTTTTCTGTACTGTCTCTGACTTTTAATGGGAAATGGTTAATGGTCACTTTATAATCATGGCAAAAAATAAAAAATAAAGTCTGACATTGTAGACAATCTAGGGAGATCAAGCTTGTTTTCATGCTTTCTTCATCCATGTTGGTTTGTTTCTCACGCTCCCGTTTTATTTATTTAGCAGCCTTCTTTGGATTTCAGACCTTCCTAATCAAACTGTAAATACCCTTAAAAAGTTTTAGAAAAGAGGTCATAATGGCATTAGTGACTTGCGATTGTAAAACCAGCAATAAATTGCAATTCAGAGGCACCAGTTTTAATGTATAGCTACTCTTTCTAAATGGTCACGGTGAGATGATGATCATGACGATGATTGATATGCATTTATCCAACATTCCAGATTTTGTACATAATTACCTGTTTCTGAAGTAACCTGTGGAAAATAAACTAATGCTGTTTAACACAGATTTTTGTGTCATTTTCTTTTATTATACTGTGGGTTTATATAAAAGGATGAATGCAAAACTAGGATTAGATTAACTGGATCACTACATAAATAACAGACTGTACTGTTAAGTTTTTGGGGAGTAATTTTGCCTCCGTTTAAAATCCACTGGGATGGTAAACAATCGGTATCATTAAAGTACAGACCTTTGGCTTACATTGAGTAGGTGTAACAAAAGTATTGATTGCATTGCCTGACATTTTTAGTGCAAGTCCAACGTAACTAATAACTTCTTTTTTTTGTAGTCAGTGCTCCATTTTCAAAAGGCTCAGAAGTAATTGGATAGTTGATAAACTGCTTCATGGCCACATGAGGCTCATTATTTAATGACAAATTAAGCAGATAAAAGTTTAAGTTGATTCCATTTGTTGAACTTGTATCTGACAACTCTTGGTAAATGGACTGGTTCTTGTATAGCGCTTTACACAACTTACCTCATACATACAAGCACTTTTCTTCCTATGCTCTATGTAAGTGCTTCTATCTACCATTCACACGCATTCATAATCTGATAGATTCATCTGTGAGCAACTTGGGGTTAGTATGTTGCCCAATATTTGGCATGCAGACTGGAGCAGACAAGGATGGAACCACCACCTTTCCAATCAGTAGGTGACCTGCTCTAGCACCTAAGCTACAGCCACCCCACCCACTCAATATGGGGTCCAAAGAGATACCTATACAAGTGAAGGAGGCCATCTTTAGACCAAAAAACCTAACAGAATTTTTTTTTGTTACTTTATTAAAACTGAGAAATGCACTGGCCAGAAAGACCACCGAAGACACCTGGTTACAATCGAAAACAAGAAGGTCCGATTAGATTTTGTAAGAAAGCATCTAAAAGAGTCAGCACAGTTCTGGAAACTGTTCAACAACATAACTTGTACCAGAATGATGGGAAGAGCTCATGATCCAAAGAAGATCACATCATCTAGCAGAGCGGATGTTTGCTGATGATGTGACTGCTGACACAAGCAGCAGGATCAAGTTGCAAAACTAGTGGGATGGCAGCACAAGCCAGGATTTTCCCATTCAAAGCCGCTTCAGTGACCGAGCGTGTCACCAAATGTCGGCACAGTATAGCATGCTTTCCAGTAACTGAAGGCAGCTGCAGTAAGAGCCTGGCAGCATCTCAAGGGAGGATGTGGCAAAATCTGTGGCTTCTACACTTCAGGATTTTTATCCAAGTATTAAAAACAATCTTTATATTAAAAATGATGTCAAAGTTGTCCTCTGGGTGCAGTGTATCAAAGTGTCATCCATAAAGAGTCAATGTAGATTTTTTTGTAAAAGCCATTGAATTAACGGTAAAAATCTGCAGTTCACTCACATCTTGACTGTGGACCTCACTGTACAGTATAAATACATGTGTGTGTGTGTGTGTGTGTGTGCGGACCTCACACGTCATGTCAATTACACACACAATGACATAAATATATGCTTCTTTAATGCTTTTGTACAGATATAGATTCGGACTTCATGAAAACAAAATTGCCAAACATGTATATTTTTTGAAGGTTATGTTTTTGGTTGCACTTGGGTGCATTAATGTCTTTAAACACAATAGCTCGAAAAGTTTTTAATGAATTCTGAAGATGTATACAATCACACTATCTGCATTTAAGTTGTGTTTCAAACGTTTAACTTCATCTGTTACCCAGTGGATACTAATATTCAGTACTTTCTAATTTAATTATTGCTGCGGCGATCTCGGCACAATATTCGACATAATTTCATTAGGGATAAAGTATTCTGATTGTGGTTATAGAATATTTTGAGAAGCCCTGGCTTCACTGAGAAAGTTAAAAAATGGAAATACAAATTTCAGTCGTTCAGTATGTACAGAGATGCTATGACGTTTGGTTTAAAGATGGTGGAATTTAAAATGTTTCGATTTTCACTGGGAGTGACCAGAATGGACAGATTTAGAAATGAGTACATCAGAGGGACGGCTCAGTTTGGAGAAAACGTTAGAGAGACTCGGCTGACGTGGTTTGGACGTGTGTAGAGGAGGGATTGTGGATATGCTGGACAAGAGATGTTGAAAATGGAGCTGTCAGGCGGGAGTAAAAAAGGAAGACCTCGGAGGAGGTTCACTGATGTAGAGAAGGAGGGCATGGAGAGGGTTGGTGTGACAGAAAAGTATGCTAGGAAAAGGTTGTGAAGGAGGCAGGTGATCCACTGTGGTGACCCCTTAAGGAAGCATCCAGAAGAAGAAGAAGAAAAAGATAAATGAGTAACTAACTAACATGGACACATACATTCAAATTTGTTGGCTGTATTAACCCTTGTATGGTGTTCGGGTCTGTGAGACCCGTGTTCAGTTTTTTTCAAAAGAAAAATTAAACAATTAATTATTTTTTCACGTGTAAATGTGTTGTGTCTTTCCACTCACTCCACTTGATTATAACTGATTTATTTATAACATTTTATATAAAAGAAAACGAGAAGCACATTAATTCATAAATGTGATCTAACAAAGGTAAAGGGAAAAAATTAACCATGTTTGCTGTTCATATGTCTTGTAATTGGGATGAAGTAAACATCTGTTGAGTAATTTAACATAAAATTGTTTGATAGTGTTAATTTGGAAAGCCAAAACTCTAGCGGGTCCACCAGACCCATGAACACTGGCTGAGTAACAAAAATACGAACACCACACAAGGGTTAAGTAAATGTCATAGTCTCATGTTATTGAAGTGACCCATGAACTTCACTAAAGTCTATAAGTCCTGTCGATGACCAAGTCATTGTGATATATATTCTGCTTGGCCCTAAATATTTTATTCCTGTGGATGAATAACTTGAGCATATCAGATCCAACATGCTGTGCTACTTCCACTTTGAAGATCAGTTGCTTGATTCCTTTTCTTCTTTTCACAGCCTGCAAGGTTTAATTTTCCTAGGTACAATTATGCTAAAAATTGTTATCATTGACATTTACTTTATTTATTGAGGTGAGCAATAAAAGTTAATTTTGAACCAGGCCAGTATTGTCCTAAAATAGTGACTTCTATATATAATCTCTTATACTGGTAACTATAATCAAAAGGATTTGCGAAGGGCTTACATATAAATGACAGATAAAACCTAAAAAGACCTGTTTTTGCAACTATCTTTAAGATTATTTTATATTTTATCATTATTATGCATTATTTACCTATATTAGAATCAATCCTGTCCTTTTTGGCCACTTAAAATATCTTAATAGGACTGTAATGTTATATTCCTTGCGATTTCTGCTACCTTCTTCGCCAGTTGACAGAAATGACTAATGTTTTTTTTTTCCTGGCTTGATATCGACCATGAGCGATATGGCCAACGAATCATTTAAAACTGATTAAATGCATTGTACCATACAATGCACCAGGGGGCGGTAGCGGACCTCAAAGCGTACTATTCACTCCTGTTGGGAATAAAGAGGAAGAACCCCTGTCGCTCCGCCTTCTTGGATGCTCTGTGTATTTAACACAGTAGGGTAACTGAAAAATAAAAATAATTTTAATTTTTTAAAAAAAAACAAAAAACGTTATTTATTGCGTCGCGTTTAGTAGTTTGCATAATGAGCGGGATACCGGGGACACCCGTCGTCCAGATAACCAACCTGTCCTCGGCCGTGAGCAGCGAGCAGATGCGCACTCTCTTCGGTTTCCTGGGAGACATCGAGGAGTTGCGGCTCTACCCGCCCGAGTAAGAGCAGTCTGCCTCGGCATGGCTAGTCAAGCAACTCTGCGGACCTGCGGCCTTGTCGCGGTTCTTAAATTATAAACTAAAAAGTCCCAGATGAAACAAAATTAAATGACTAACCCGCGTTCCCACGCTTCTTTCTCTCCTTTCTTTTCCTTTTCCCTTTTTTTTGTTTACAGCAACGCCCCCCTCTCTTTCTCGTCCAAAGTGTGCTACATAAAGTACCGAGACCCCTCCAGTGTTGGTGTGGCGCAACATCTCACTAATACTGTGTTTATTGACAGAGCTTTGATAGTAGTACCATGTGCGGAAGGTGAGTGCAGGCCTTTACGTTTAAAGAAACAACCTTGACTTTGTTATGACCTCCTTCCTCTGAATTCAGTTGTTGTGGTTGAATCCTGGGTTATTTTTATGTAATTGTGATTATTTTATTTAATTTTTTTAACCCACATGAAAAATTGTCGAGTTGTGCCACTGGTTAGGTCTTTTTTTTTTTTAACTGTTTGTGTACAATTATTTGGTACAGGTTAGTGGTTGTATCGCCACAGCATTTACAAAAAAAGAAATTCCCATAGCACCGAGCTAGGGTCTCTTGTTTGGTTTCACAAAATGGTTTCCACACAGGCCATTAAAGCTAGGTTGAATGTTTTTGAAGCTGAATCCACACTATAAACACTGGACTGCCTGCAGAAAATAGTTTTATGCATATTTTAAATATTGTTTGATGGATATTACTCAATAACTCACCCTTTTCTCTCTTCATTAAAAAAAACATAGATACATATTTTTATTTGTTTTTGTTTCGGTGCTTCTTTTCATTAAATCTCCCTCCCTCTTTGGTGCCACTGTTGTTCCTTGTGTACAGTCAAAATGATATCACCTCTGACTTGATGCTTTTTGTCCACGTGACTTGGTGCTGGATGGCTACTGAGTTTATTAATTTGGTTTTGTATGTTTTTTCTGTGTGATTATGTGTGCATATCAGATGACTAGAGTGGCCCAGCTGTTACACTACTACACTAGCCTGAGTCAGGCATTGTTTTCCAAGCCACTATCCCCGATCGGGCCAACGCAGCCTTCAAGGGGGGAATGTGACCAGGAGAATAGCCCGCTGAACCTTCCAAGATGGACACCTTGTCTCTTTTTTTTTTTTTTTTTTTTTTTTTTTTTTTTCCTTTTGAATTTTTTTTTCTTTTGGTTTGTTTCCTTTCATACTTTCCCATGTTGTCCACTCTCTACTGTCTCTATCCAGAATACTACAATATTGCTTATCTC